TTGTGATGGGGATTTTTAAAAAACACTTTCGAACGTGTTAGTCTGTAATTATTTTATCGATTAAAATTACAGTAATTATAACAAACAGAGCTTGTTCAAACGGGTTTTAAAAAAATCACCATCACAATGAAATGCATTTTTATCACAGTCACAATAAGTTTGCCTTTGTAAATCAATTTTCAGGATGATCTTGAAGGGGGTCGAAAGTACTTGAGTAAGAAAAAACTATGACGCCTTCCTTGATGAATTTCATCTTAATATCAATAAACTGATTAGAGAACAGGAAAGGATTATTATAAAATAGACAGATGTCTATATTATTCAATGAAATATATATATATATATATATATATATATATATATATATATATATGTGTGTGTGTGTGTGTGTGTGTGTGTGTGTGTGTGTGTGTGTGTAAGCAAATGTAAATGGATATAGATTCGACAGAATGAAGAAAAATTTGGAAAAAACAAACCAAAAAATCCTTAAATGCAATTATGTTGTTTTGCATTTAAGGATTTTGGTTTGTTTTTTTCCAAATTTTTTTCATATATATATATATATATATATATATATATATATATATATATATATATATATATATATCGAGTGTAACAGCAAAATTTTCTGAATTGTATAAACAGCATAATTGACCATCCCCAAAATGTTTAATACCTCAAAAAAAACGCTAAACTAATTGAGTTTCTTTTTTTCCAGGTTTTCAGAGAAGACATTTAGCCATTTTGACATCATTTGTTGTAAGAATCACTGAAAAACCCTTTGAGTTATTCATCTAAAAAGAGAACAGGTTAAAATCGTTTTGTGTCAGCCCCACTCTCTTTTCAACTGAGCAATGGTGAGAGGAAAAAGATCGAAAATGCTTTCAGTAATGGTACCAACATTCATACTCTGTCTTTAACCTTCAAAGTCCATTCAAGAACCATCAGAAGAACGGTGAATAAGTTTACAATAGAGGAGACAGTAGAGTGGAAAACTGCATCACGATCACAACAGGAAGAGGGGCCATCATTTCAACTAAAGCTAAAGAGATCAATTAGAAAAGATACAACTCAATCCAGAAGACGTTTGGCACGTGAGACAAGAGTTTCACCTCTGACAGTCCAAAGAGCAGTGAACAAATGACTTGAAAATGAAATCGTACGTGAAACGTATGAGGAATCTTGTTACTCTAACACAGAACGTGAGAAGGTTAGAAAGGGCGTTGGTCATCTTGAATAAGTTGGAAAATGATCCTGGAATAATATATATATATATATTTGAACTTAATTTCAATACTTCATGAGCTTCCGATCCTTAGCTATGATTAATTAATGATGAATATGTCATTTTCGCTTATGATCGATTTCATCACGATATTTCTGTTAACCATGGAGAGTAATTATACATTCTTATTGCTCAGAGTAAAGTCCAATAGTTTTATAAAACCTCGGAGAATTCCAGTAAGATATCTTTAATCATTTCTACGATACGACGGCTAAAAAGCTTAATCTAACATTTGGAAATTTTTGCAGTTACACGATTTGTACAATTTTGCTGTTACACACACACACACACACACACACACACACACACACACACATATATATATATATATATATATATATATATATATATATATATATATATATATTAGCAAAGCCGGAATAAACAGACATGAAATTTGTAAATGTTTTTGCGTGTGAGTAGGAATGTTTTTCCTATACATTTCAGTTTCAAATAAATGGAAAGGAACGATATTTCTTTTTGGAAGAAAAAAAGAAAGAAAAATAGCCGAGACCTTCCAACCATTCCCCTTCTGTTAAATATTCAGGAAATTTCTTTCCATTCCTTTATTTTGGCGGTTGACATTCTTGGACAAAGAGATTCGTCATTGAAAATTATTATAAACATTTTTATAAATATTAATGAATTTTTATAAATATTAATAAATGAATAAACCTTTATTTAAAAAAAAAAAATCCAATCACCTCTTTTATTCCAACCACACCGTCTATTTGAAACTCAAGAGTATGCTGGTGATAAAACTGCGCTTTAGGATGAGAATTTTAGGATTGTATTATCTGTAATGGATTCAGCTTTTTCTTGATGTATTCATGCATCCATAACGTCTTTTACGATGATTTCAATTGTATGTTGTCAGATTCCATTCAAGATTATATAAGATTGTTCAGTGAAGAAAAAAAAAAGACATTAAATGACAAGCCGTGTATATTGAGTTCTGAGGGCCTCTACCTGTGTATTATTACGGATTCATATTTCACGTACATTTACATTCCCGAAACAGTTTCCAACGAATAAACCCACCCACTTGCAAGCGTAAGATTGTCGTTGACGCTTTGCTTTGTGGTTGTCTCTCAGAAAGGAACCGTTTTCAGCATTGGCTAACATCAGTGTTCGGTACAAGCGTCACTTTACAATTTTCCGACAGGCTCGAGTTACTTGTCTCCTTGTCCGGTTCCTTTACTGAGTACATTTTACTCCGGTTTAAGGAGGTAGAGCGAGTCGCAAAAGAAACGGTACTCCTGCCAGTCCGCTTGCGGTCATTTCTGAAACGGCCTCGAAAAATGGAACGGAACGAGTGTTTGAATGTTTCCCGAAAGTTTTTTGACATGAAGGAGTAAACGATCGGATTGATGCAGCTATTAAAATATGCCATTAAATTAAATACAATACGCATTGGTTTCAGATAGCCGTAATTTAGCGGGTTTAGATGTTGGAAACCGACAAGAACGTTATTGATGAGTATCGGAGCCCAGCAGATGATGAACAAGAGAACAACAACCACCAGCATCTTGACAACCTGGAAAATGAAACAAAAATAAAATAAGAGGCGTAAAGCGAAACGACAGATCGATCATGAAAAATAAATGCTAACGAAAAGCAAATATCTATATATAACGAACATTTACACTATTTACATTATTCGGATTATTGCCCTCATCTTTGTCGCCATGTTTATCACAACGTTTCGGCCGTTGTACGCTCCGGTCTTCTTCAAGTGGTGGGAATGTCGAATTGAACCCTTTATTTCGCTCACTGGGGTAGACTGTTCTAGTTCCACATGCCATGTCTAATGGATGTCAGTTATCTCCTGTTAATACTCCTCTCTAAGTTCTCCACTGCCTTAACCAGTTATTGAACTGACACTCTTTGTGTCCTGTTACTGGATCTAACTAACACCTTTATCCACTGTGCCATGCGTTCTGTGTATGAATTTCTGGGTATTATAAACCTAATGTCTTTATAACCTTTTTTTTGAGTGCTCATATTGTAATTTTTGCTGTTATCATTGCATTTTTTTAACAAAGCTCATATTGCAATTTTTGTTGTTATTATCGCTTTTCTCTGGCACTCCTTATTACTGGTTTCCATATTGTATTCATTTCTATGCTTGGTTGGCTCAGGAGATTTTTGTGGCCTAACATATGTGCTGATTCCTTAAGTTTACGAATTTTCCAATGATGTTCTTGGTCTATGATCCCCAACTCGATCCTACAGAGGGCGGTGATCTCCCTTTTCTCTCCATATGTGGTCGGCCGAAACGTTGTGATAAATATGGTGACAAAGATGAGGACAATAGTCCGAATAATGTAAATAATGTACATAAAACCTCATCTCATATATATATATATATATATATATATATATATATATATGTGTGTGTGTGTGTGTGTGTGTGTGTTAATAAAAAGAGATATTATTCTTAGCCGACGCGTTTCGTCCTCGGACACAGTTTATCAAGTTAATGTAGAATTTATTTTGTTGCACGTCTTTATATACAAAATCAAAGATGTCATTGTTCTATCAAGGCCTTTAAATTTGAGAACGTTTTCATGAATATTCATCAGGTGGTTGAAAAGTCAGTCAAAACAAAGCATGTGGGGGACACAAAGTGCCATAATTCAAAGTCTAGCGAGAACGAAACACGTTGGCTACGAGTAGTTTCTCTCTTGTATGTTTTTATTCATTTTGTTCCTCTATCTGGAAATAATTTACACACACACACACACACACACACACACACACACACACACACACACACACACATATATATATATATATATATATATATATATATATGTACAAGGTGTCCTCCAAAATTGACATCATTTAAAATGTGAATATCTGAGTAACTACATGTTCCAGGCAAACGAAATTAAATAAACTTCATGTTGAAAAATAAAAGGTTTATTCATCAAAATTCGAAAAATATATTCAAAGGGATGTAGATTTTGTAACCAATTTAACAAAGCTTCACAAATGTTCAATATGCGCGCCAGCTGTGACACAACACACGTCAAGTCGGTAGTCCAGCCTTTACCAAACACGCTGTAGCATGTCCTGCGTAACATTCTCCAGTGTCACAGTGATTCTCTCCCTTAAGTTCCTCTAGGCTTGTAGGTAGACGCGGTTATAGACCTATCTTTCACATAGATCCATAGAAAGAAAATCACGAGGTGTCAAGTCAGGTGAACGTGGTGGCCATTCCAATGGCACATTTTCATTATCACTGGCACGCCCGAGCCATCTTCCTTCGGATAATCCGCACAGCCAACATAATTTTGACACATTTTGAGTGAGAATTGGCGATGTTATGAGACTACAAAATGATGTCAATTTTTGAATAAAATGTATAAATATAAATGTACGTGTAAGTGTTCCAATACAAATTCGTTCATATATCCTTTGGTGTAAGAAAAGTGCTCAATGCTAAATAACTGAGCTATTAAGTATACATTAATAAAAATATATAAAACTGCTCACCGATAGTACGACTCGGAGTTTCATGCCTAATGCAATCTTCAAGTACTGAGTTTGGTTAATATTTCTGCGTCTCGTGAAATTCGTGATGTTTGGATTATTTATTACTTTTGCTAAATATTTAATTGTACTATAATCAAATTTTTAAATTAAATTCAAAATTAGAATATAGTGTAATTTTATATATATATATATATATAGAGAGAGAGATCGATAGATAGATATAGATAGATATAGATATATATATCAATATAAAAGTGAATATTGAAGTCAACACTCAGAGGCGACAGGCTGTTTCATGCTAGACGCAATCGTTACTGCCGACGATTTCGTCTAGCATGAAACAGACTATCGCCTCTGAGTATTGACTTCAATGTTAACTTTTATATTCATAGTTACATACGCTCTATCCCTGATATTGAGCACTTTATCCCGTAAATATAGCACACCTTAAAACTGTATTTCTTCATATATATATATATATATATATATATATATATATATATATATATATATATATATATCAATCTGTTTCTATCAATCCATCTGTTTATCTGCACGCTTCCGTGCCATTAGTGTATATTTTAAAAAGTCTGGATTTTGTTAACGATTCATAAAAAAAAAAGATTTATATCATGTGTTTATATTTTTCGTCTGTTTTTTTTTCTGAAATCAGTGGTTTCGAAACTTTTGGGGCTTCCGCCCCCCCTTGTGTACCAAATACAACAACCCTAACACCCTCTTCTCCAAATGTATAGTCAACCTTTGACTTGATTTTCTTGGTGCTATTATTGCATGTTATATGTGTGTTTTAGTATATCTCATAATCATCAGCGTCGGCTTTATCTTGTATCAAAGAATTTAATTTCTTCTTTGCTGATCGCTTCCTTTATGATAATATATATATATATATATATATATATATATATACAAGTCAAGGAGCCTTTGAAATAATAAAAGCAGGCATATCTTTTCGGCTGAATTTGATAAAATGTGTCATACGAGATAAGTAACGGGACTAGGTGTGCTGCGTGAGATTTGGACGAAAGAGGGATAAGTGGATTGTGCTATCATCTAACATGATATCTTGGGAGTATATGACTGTAATCTTAGCTTTCTGCAATCATTGGATTTTTAAAACACATGCTTTTGTGGCAGGACAAATCGTGGCTGCTTCACCACAACAAGGAAACTGCTCACAACGCTCTGAGCATCCGGCAGTTACCGTCCGAGAAGAACCTCACCGTACCGGAACAACCTCCCTATTCACCTGATAGTGCTCTTTGTGACTTTTTTCTTTTCACTAAGCTCAAGTGGATCATCAAAGAAACCCGTTTTGAAGGCATGGAGGCCATCAAGCGGGCCGTAACGACGGAGCTGGGGGTATCCAAGAAGAATCCTTCCTGCAGTGCATTGATGCGAGATAGAGAAGGATAGAAAAGTTCATTAGACATAAAAGAGATTTACTTTGAAGGAGAAACCATCTAGTTTGTTAACTGGAATTTAAACAAATTGTTTATGTCACCAGACCCATTACTTTTCAGACAGACCTTGTATAACCTTTTAATCAGATTAATTCATTTATTCATTAATGAATGTGTTCGACAGGTATCTTTTGAATTGAATGTTACCTGCATTTTTGTCTTGTCATCCTCTACGGTTGTATTCTTTTTCTTGCGTTTCGTATTCCCGGATATCCGCAGACTCCTGAACCCCGTACCACTAGGCGTATTCGTCTCAACTTGGCCATTTTCCGCCATGCTGTAAAAGAAATAAATAAAAAAGTGAGACAAGGGAAGTAACTCCTTTGCTATTTAATAATCAGCTTTCATAAATGGAGACTTTTATATGCCATTCACGCTAATCTCGTTCGCAGATATTTAAACTGTCAGCTGTATAAAACCGCCTTTTCAGATCAATGAATAAAAATGGCTTCGAGCAAATGAAGACTATAGGTCTTGGAGAGAACCTTCATTCTTTTGAAAGAAATTCGTGAACTGGCGTTACAGTATCATCAAAAAAGAACTGTACCTAATGACAGAAGCCACATCATTATAAGACTCTCAACAATATGAAATAAAATGAATATCGCACGTGAGTGGAAGAGAAAATGATGACGTAATCAAGATGTTGACATTCCACATTACTTCAAACAAAAGGTTAGGAAAGAAATCCCTATCAATACTGGAAAGGGCGATGGCAGTGAAATTAAGACGCTTATTTTCCTGAAAAATTGTTTTAATAGAAAAATTTTATAAATTTCAACTAATAGTAGCAGTGGTTGCTCGGTTAGTGAATGCCGAATATTTATATAAGGAAACCGCTAATATTGTCATTAACAATTAGATATGTAATGGACAAAGTCCGACAATTATTTTAAGACATGTTATGTTTATACGTTCTTTTTATAGATAGAAATATTTAAGTAAATGCTTTGTTTATAATAAACAGTATTAACGACATTTACCGGCCTGAATGTCCGAAAAATTTTTATAGAAAATATGCGTCCTCCGACAAGGATTGAACCTGTATCCTACACTGAACCGTCACATAGCCTGACGTGCTTTTACCGATTGAGCCACAGAGGAGCGTTTCGGTTAGCAAGGTCGATTTTACTGTTTTTAAACTACAATTCTCCATGATTTTCTCTCATACATTCACATCTCCTCGATGCGTATCCAAATGTAAACAAATGATGTCACACATTATGAAATGGACAAAGTCCGACAATTATTTTAAGACATTTTTTGTTTATACGTTCTTTTTATAGATAAAAATATTTAAGTAAATGCTCTGTTTATAATAAACAGTATTAACAACATTTAAAATAATTGTCGGACTTTGTCCATTTAATAATGTGTGACGTCATTTGTTTACATTTGGATACGCATCGAGCAGATATCAATGTACGAGAGAAAATCGTGGCGAATTGTAGTTGAAAAACCGTAAAATCGACCTTGCTAACTGAAACACTCCTCTGTGGCTCAATCGGTAAAGCACATCAGGCTATATAACGGTTCCGTGTAGAATACAGGTTCGCTTCCCGTCGGAGGACGAATATTTTCTATGAAAATTTTCTCGGACATTCAGGCCGGTAAATGTCGTTAATAGTGTTCATAATAAATAGAGCATTTACTTAAATATTTGTATCTATAAAAATAACGTATAAACATATAAAATGTCTTAAAATTAGATATGTGTGTGTGTGTGTGTGTGTGTGCGTGTGTGTGTGTGTGCGTGTGTGCATTTATATGTTTGTGTTCGCCTGGCAAACGGGGTTCGTAAACCCAGAGAGGTTGATCGTCTAAGTGAAGGAAAACCATAGTTGCATTGTGACTATACCCATACTCATGGGAAAGCCTTCAAGAGTCAATATAGAGAAAAATCTTAAGTCAGAGTCTTTAAAGCATTTTGTGGCAGTATTACGAAACATTCTGAGAACTTCTGCTACAGAGCTGGGAATCATGTATATCGGCATTTGTCTTTCCATTGGATCATTTCAGCGAAGACATCTGGAGTCAACCTCGATGAAATATCCGGAATCGGCGCCTTTGGGACAATTCGTTGCTGTATTCAACAACGTCCTGACAATATTCTATCGTCCCAGGATATCGCACTTTTTTTGCGATGCTATACCTTTAAAAGCTTCAGATGAGACCAAAAATAGATGATTGCTGCCATATATCAGCTAGAGCTTCAGAATCTTCACTTTCAAATTTTGGTTGAGTTCAAAATAGTTTACGCACTTTAATGTGGGAAGACTAATTCCTACGGATGCAACGTTGCAAGCCGATCGCTTCTCTATCGCTCTTTCCATGGCAAACGTTCTGATGAGTTCCATTCTTTAGTTCCATAAGTTCAGACCTTTACTGCTCGGCCAAACAGTCGACGGAGTGTTCCAAATGTAGAGAGAAAGCTCCAATTCAATGAAGGCTTTAATCCGAAATTCCAAATACGACAGGAGACTGAAGAAACAGCCCTAGAATATAACAATCAAATCTTTGTGATCATCTGATGAGGACACCAATCAGTGTATATTAGATGATATAAGTTAATGTAATCTCCCTTTAGGACGTATGAGGTTATGACTCTCCACGCATTTCCCCTTTCCTTTATTATCTGTAAATTGTCGTTTATTCTTGGGAAAGATAGTCGAGAGTTTCCCGATGCCTTCCCCATAGTTTGTGTTGTGTAGAAAGAATCTATACTCTTCTCTACACTTATTATTGAAACATGGACTCGTTCATCCTCTATGAGTAGAACATCTGCTCATGGAACAGTGGCAAAAGTGGGGGTCACTAAAGTCGAACTGAAATTCTGTATTCTCAATTCATGTCCTCATGTAATTAAACCCTTTTTCACTCAACTCTTTTCCAGTGTTTTCCTTAGTCTAACTAACCAGTAATGACGGCGTAAAAAAACTTTATAGAAGTTTGAGATTCAGAGTTTTTCACGATTTATATTATTCGGACTATTGTCCTCATCTTTGTCGCCATATTTATTACAACGTTTCGGCCGTTGTACGCTCCGGCCTTCTTCAGGTGGTTGGCATGTCGAACTGAACCCTTTATTTTGCTCACTGGGGTAGACTGTTCTAGTTCCACGTGCTATGTCTAATGGATGTCAGTTATCAGTCATCTCCTGTTAATTCCCCTCTCCAAGTTCTCCACTGCTTTAACCGGGGATTGAACTCACATTCTTTAGGTCCTCAAGGACACATGGCACAGTGGATAAAGGATATAGATCCAGTGACAAATATGTCGAGACCCATTTCATACGCTAAATATAATGAATATTATAAATATTTGGGGGTCATTTTAATGACTTCCTAAAATACTTACAGAAGACAAAGTATAAAGATAGAAACCATAATTTTAGTGGCATTTCTTTTAATAATCGATGATAAATAAATGATTAAAAAACAAAACAAAAAGCGAATAGGTTATTTTGCCGATCCTGGTAAAATTAACACCAATGCTATTTTGCCAGTAAATATAAATAGGGTTTTAGAAGTAAGGATATGTTATATTTAAGATCATCTGCGCAGTGGTTCTGTAAGATGTGTGGGCAGGTCTTGAACAATATGGATTCTGTGTTCTGTAATTGTTGTCTTCAGTGAGTGCGCCTGAAGTGTATTGGTAAGAGAATCATACCCAAGGGCAAATTTTGGATTTACAAAAACTGTTATTCTTGAAGTACTTAAAATATACAGAGACTTCTGTATTTCTTTTAATAATCGATAATAAATAAATGATTTTAACTTGTATATTAACAATGGATAGTGGAAAAGATTTTAAATTCGAAATTGATGGTGAAAATAAATAACCTTCTGTGTTAAATATGTGTCTTGTTATTTTTGACATTACCTGTCTTCATAATAATAATAATAATAATAATAATAATAATAATAATAATAATGATAATAATACTAGCCCGGGCGTTTATTTTACTGAGACCGGTAAAATAAGCTTAAAAGCATGTTTGTCTATTTTAACGGAACCGGCAAAATAGCCCCTTCCTTTGTTTAAAAAAAAAAACTACTGTTAACCCAATAAAATACCTAAGAGCTACTAAAGAGCATTTCGGTGTGATGCAATGGTTAGCAAGGTTACCCTGTCCAGGGATTGAACACGCAACACGAAATAACTGCTTTAATCTATTAGGTCATTTTTCTCAATCTCAATATAATAATTTCTTTTCGAAATCTCTATATTCTCCAAGACACCTTTCGTACTGTTTACAGCGGAAAATGGTTAATATTTCAGTGTTCACCGAAGCTTTAGTTTTGTAAACATATATCTGTATCAACGTTATATCATCCATTTGTTTTATTTGAGAACTTACTGAGTAGTGTTTTTCCTTATTTTCGCCATAAAAGTCTGTAATCGTCTCACAAAAATTCGTACTTTTGCTGCGAGATCTCAGAATCTGCAGGGATTTGAACTATCAATGTTTTTTTTTTTACAAAAGAATATTTACTTGGAAACACTAGTTGTGAAAAAATCAATGCTCTACCTGTTGTAACATTCAACTTATTACAAATATATTTTTAAAAGACACAACTAGATAGCCAAAAGGGCAGAAGTATGAATTTTATTTATTTGTTTGATGCTACATACACGCTTTATAGAATGAAACAGTCTCAACACTGCGACGTGCAATCACAGATGGCAATACAGTAACAGGATGTCGGTTCACCTTATCTGAGATAAAGAAGCAGCCATGTAAATATAATATAATAAGAATATAGACGCCTGTCATGCTTGTACGTATCTCTTTGAATTTCATTCTCTAATCATTTTATTTTATTTACTTATTCCTTTCTGTCTGTCTGTCTCTCTCTCTCCCTATCCCCACCTCTCTTTCTATCTCCAAAGAGTATGTATAAGTTTTCGTCGGCACTAACTTTTCTTTTTTTAATTGAATTGACCCCTCTTTGAAAACTTTCTTGAATATCAAGTCATTGGTGATTTCTCTGGCTCGTGTAAGTATAGAATGTTATTTTTAAGTGTGGTTCACGGATATTGGAGTATCTTCTTCCACAAGAAGTGAATGTTAAACTTTATATTTCAGTTTCAGATTCCCTGTCCATACCCCACTCCGAATCATATGCTTCTCCTGTACCCATGTACGCTAATCCACATGAGCGGGTGTAGTGAATGCACAAGCCTCCCCCGTTACTCTCTCTTTCCAACGTGTCTTATAACTCTTTAACTCATGAGCGAGATATACATACACAAATCGTGCCATATCGTGTCTGG